TATAGATCAACATATTCTTGGTGTCAGTTCTAGTTTGAAGTGAGCGGTCAGCTTCATGCCCCATCCCTTGTGAAAGAGCCCCCAGTATCATTGGAAAGGAGGCTGGGAGGGTCCCAGAACTGGTCTGGATTACATGGAGAGGAGAAAAATCTTGCTCCTACTGACACTTAAACTCTGACCCCTCGGCAGCCCACCCTGTAGCCAGTTGCTGTATCAGCTCTGCTATCCTGGCTTCAATAAATATGCTTATTTATTCTAAAAATAGCATAGTAAGAGAGAAAAACTCTGATTACACTGTTATATTTATGGATACTTCAGGAAATGAGTATAAAACAATAACAACAACAACAGCATAGCACAACCATTATCACAGAACGCAGTGATGTTTTACATCTGAATTTTGACATAATACTTGTGAAATTTTACAGAAATGTACGACTCTAATTTTGTATTCTTATTTTTATTTATGGGAATTGTTTCCTCATAATATGTAAATTTCCTGAGGGTGGTGGTCTCATGAAACCAAAACATGTTGGGGTGTTGAGAACATGATAAATGAGCCAGATATACTTTTGTATGTCAGCAGCCCAAAGAATTTTATGCTTCTCGTTTTCAGGGGCCTGTGAAATGATGGGACAAGTGCCTCAATGTACATGGAGATTATGTTGAGAAATAAAAGCATTTTTCAAATCAGTACTCTTATTTGTTTAAGTTCTATATCCATTTGTAACTTACTTATTGACTTACCTACATATATTGAAACATTGCAGTACTGTGTATTGTCATAATGGCAAGTGTAGGAACCATATCTGGGACAAAGAATTGGCTATGGCTATGACTATTATGTTTGGAATTGTCTATAGTCTTGAGTTTTTTGTAGTGTTTGAGAAATTGCCATTTATATCTTCATGTATAAGGCAGAAGGTTTCCAACTCCATTGAGCCCATTAGAAAGATTTAGTCTTATTCACTGGATGAAATTCTGATTGAGACTTCCTCTTTCTAACAGGCCCAACTGTCCAGGAACATTTCCTCCCTCACACGTGATAAGGGACAGAGATCCAGTTTCCAAAACACTGTGTTTTAAAAGATATCTGGATGATGGACAGTAATGGTCATAGTTACTGTTGCACACCATCACCAGAAACTGACACAGTCAGAGATGTGGGTACTTCTGTTTGTGTGGTATATGATGTGTTATCTTCTGCTTTTATGTTACTGTACCAAATCAAAGCAATGTGCTATAAGATTTAAGTGTTCATCCAGAAGATGTTATGTGCCAATGATTGGGAATAGCAGAGTAGATTTTTTTCAGCCTCTAGATTCCCATTAAATGAAAATGTAAAAACTTTCATGTTCATGACATGCATCTTATTTGTACAGTATGTACAGTGAGGGCACTTCAAATGAAAACAGTTCTTTTTTTTATGAAACACTCTTATACAGTAAAATGAGCTTACATTACCATATTTGTGCATGTATAAGCCACATAAGATTTTACCTGTGTGAAATGAAACGTTTCCAGTTGCATTCACAGCACCTCAGTTGTCACCAGCAGCATTTACAGTAATTCGTGTCATTTCATTGTCTTCTGACTTCTTGGAATGTATAGTGTCGGCTGCTGTCATGTGATCAAAAGATGTCCATATACACTCAATTCAGTGTTGTTTCCATATGTGCACTAGCTTGCCAGATAACAATCTTAACAACTGACCCATGTCAGTAAATATGTTTGCTAAAAGACAACTTATGTGATTGGAAAATGAAACTCATTTGACAGTCAACAGAGAGTAATGCTTTGTGTGATAATTCATGTTACTATGAAATCTTACCTTTGCTTTGTGAGCAGTGGTACAAGACTTGCATAAAATAGAAAATTCACACAATAGTAATTTTACAGGATGTCCCTGACCATGTGATGGCAAGATGATGATAGTTGATTTTTCTGTTTTAAGAAATGAGTAATGCTATGTGTGACAGTTTTAAGTCACAACTAAAATCTAATGCCTTTATTGGTAGCAAGTATGAAGCCTCCTGTAGCAGAATACTGATTCTAATCATTGTTCACTGTAACAAACTTTGTGTGATGATGTTTGTTTCCTCCATAGAAGTTAACTCTCCTTCATGTACGAGGGGGTACCCAAAAGAAACCGAACTTATTTTCTTTTAAACTTATTTATTCAGATTTTAAGCACAAACCTTCAATCCCCTTCAAAGTACTCTCCACTTTCACTAATACACTTGTCTAGTCTTTTATTCCATTTTTCAAAACATTGTCTAAATTCATCTTTTGAGATGCTTGACAGCAACTCTGTCGTTTTTTCCTTCAACTCAGCAACATCAGCAAAACGCTTTCCTTTCATGTCTCTTTTCATTCTAGGAAACAAAAAAAAGTTTTGATCATTTCGGGACTCTTCTTTCAAAGCACAGTATGCTTCCACGCGACATTGTTTTTGTTCAGCAGTCAGCAGTCGTGGCACGAATTTCGCAGCCACCCTTTTCATTCCCAAATCTTCTGTCAAAATTCGCTGAACTGAGCTCCAAGTCACTCCCGACAGCTCCACAATTTCTTCATTGGTCCGTCGTTGATCTTCCTTGATGATTTCACGAATTTTTTCAACATTTTCATGTGTTCGGGCCGTGGAAGGACGACCAGAACGAGGTTTGTCATCAATTGACATTTCACCATTTTTGAAACGGGAAAACCACTCAAACACTTGAGTTTTCCCCATAGCATCGTCCTTGTACGCTGTTTTTAACATTTCAAGGGTTTCTGTTCCACTTTTCCTGAGCAAAAAGCAGAATTTCACCACCGCACGCTGTTCACGAAAATCAGGCATTGCAAAATCAACGATCACACAAAACAGTTGTCATTATGAACTCTGCCTTAACTAGTCCTTACCTTCTGAAGCAACGGTAGTCGGCTTATCGACTCAGGAATGTTAGCTCTATGCACTCATAGCGGCAAAACGCGGTACTACAAAAGTTCTGCCCACAAAAAAATTAGTTCAGTTTCTTTTGGGTACCCCATCGTATACTGTCAGTACTCCTTGAGATCTTGTGCTTGATGCTGGGAAAAGTGAAAGCATATTAAGCAGCAAAGTTTAAGTTAGAAGTTGTTCAGTGTGCACAAGAATGTGGATGTAAACCCTCGGGGAGAAAATTTGATGTAGATGATATAAATTACTATAAGATGATGGTCAGGTCAAAAAGTAAAACTGGATGGAATTTCTAAAAAGAAATATGCACTTCATGGTGAAAAGTTTTAAATATCCACATAAGGAGACCAAAGTGTATCAGTTTATTATGAAGAACCAAAAAAAAAAAATGGATTTGCATTATCAGTGGAAATGCTGCAGTTCAAAGACTGTAGGTTAACAAGGAATCAGAATATATCTGTTAGTGAGTTCAGAGTTATTTATGGATGGGTGAGGTGTTTTATGGCCAGACATGACATCGCCATATGGTGTCAGATGACAGTAGCATGGAGACTGCCAGAAGCATGTGAGGAAAGGCTACTCAGTTGCCAGAAATATGTCCTGAAACTGAGAAAGCATCATGAATACTTGTTAGGACAAATAGGGAATGCTAACCAGACCCTAGTATTTTTTATATGCCAGAATCCACAACAGTTAACTATTCTGGCTAATGAAGAGTGAAGAGTAGAACTACAGGAGCTGGGAAACAGTGCTGCACCATTATGCCAGCTATCAGAGCCTCCATATGTGATATTTAAACAGAAAACAATGGCTAAGGAGAAGTTCCATCAGGGAATTCTCGTAGTTCAGGTTGAGGAAAGTGGCTGGATGACTGAAGATATAGTTGAAGTCTGGGTTAAATCTGTGTGATTTTGATTGTTCAGTGTGCTGTTATGTCAGTGATCCGCTTGTTTCAGACAGCTTCTGGGGCCATACAGTGGAAAATGTGAAGGCCCAATTGCAATGAGAGAAATTTGACATGGTAATCATACCAAGAGGCATGACTGGGATGTTGCAGGCACTTAATGTCATAGCCAGTTGGCCACATAAAGCACGCATTCAATAGACATATAGTGAATGGGCACAGAATACACATTATTTAATGGTAACAGAATGCCCTAATAGTGCTTTGATGGCAGAAATGTGCCAGTTGATCCACAGAGCTTGGTGACCTGTTTATAATGCATGATAGCAAAAGGCTTAGAGGTTACTGGCATTGCACAAGGTGGCTGGGAATGAGGACAATTTCCTGTTGCAATTTCTGATGACGGAAGCTGCAGAGAGAGTGTGATTGCATTTGATAGTGACATATTCATTGTAATATCATTGCTGTGATTTTACTCAGTAATTATTTTCCTGTTTATATAGCAAATTTTACAGAGAAAGTGTTACAATTGAATTAACAACACAAAGCATCGATTCATGGTAAGCTCATTTCAACACTTTTCATTTTTCTTGCTAGCATTGTCTGCTGGGGGTTTCACAGCATACAGTGCTGGTGTCACAGACTCAAGTCATCTGTAGAGTAACAGTTTCTTTTATTTTTAATAGCTAACTTGTGAAAAAATTGCATAATATTCCTCCATGTATATGCCACATCCATTCTGGAGGAATTCTTGTCAGAAGAGGTGCTGCTTATACATATGCAAATACATAATTTTCCAACTTAATCGCTTTGTTTCTCAGTACACAGCTGTGACTCGTGATACTTTGATGTCATCCTGAAAAATACTTGTACAGTCAGTCATGCAAACAATTTTTCACTGTACACTGCACCTCCACGAAAGTTCAAAAGTTGAGTTTTGCTGTATGCTGCCTTTTAAGGACCCAAAAAGCAGCATCATCTGTGGTTGTCTACTTTTGTGTATGCTCTTTGATATCAGAGTTATGTTGTACTTTACAGGTTATTAATTGTTTTGATAAGACAAATATGAATTGAACCATCCTGTTCTATATTATTTAGAACATGTTGTCAATTTATATATTTTTTTATGAGAGTGCTAACTTCGATATTATATTTCAGTGGTGTTGAACTTCCTGTTGGAAGATGTGAGGACTCAGCTCGATCTAGGATTTGCTTGGCTGTATGAGGAATACAGCTTTATGCAAGGATTCAATAGAATGCCCGCATTCCTCAAGCAAGAGCAGAGCCCTGAGTACAGCTACAACAGGCTACTGTGTACATTGGCAAGAAATTTAATTGAGAGGGCAGAAATGAAAGACAGAGATGTGTAAGTATAAATGTATATAATCCACTTTTTGTTTCTGTAAGCAGTATTCTGAATGGAGAGATACCTTTCAGGAAGTATGTTACAAAAGGCCTAAAAATTTAAAAGTAAAATATTTATACATCCAGATATAGTGTTATGTGTTCAAGCTGACATACCATGTCTTTCTGTACATTTCTAATGGCATTCAATTCTTGTGTGCACAGAGCTCAGAAACCAGCATAGCCAGGAAAAGAGGGCAATGAGCATATTTGTAAGTTGTTTTAAAACTTCCTCCAGCATATGTGGATTTAAGCCCAGGAGCTTCTAAATCAGGATTTTTTCTGTCCATTCAAAGTACAGTTTTCTGTGCTTAGAAAAGTCATACCTAAATCATATTACATTTCACAATATGAGTCATGTTCAGATTTGTTACTACATCAGACTCTTTTGTGAGTTATGCGCAGAAGTACATTGCATTCTGTTATTATGTATAATTTCATTTGTATGTCTTATCTCACCTGAAAATGGGCCATTCTCTCCAGAAGGTTGTCCGATGAAAAAGCTTCTTCCCTGTGTCTCAGTGGTATTGTTGAACATGTTTAATAGAGCCCATAAGTTTGCTAAGTGGTAATCAGGAATCACTTCTCCAGGCCTCAGATTTGTTGTGAGATGGAAGCTTAATAGAATGAGGATAAAATTATTCCTACACAAACTGTATTTGAAAAAAAACTCTCCATTTTGAACAGCAGTGCTTCTGCCAGCAATCTTGGAGATGAGACATTTTGATTGTACTTATGTGAAATAAAAGGCTCCCATAATATTTTCGTTTCTTCTAAGGTAATGTCTTCACAATAATTGTGATTGATTGTGATTGATTTGATGAGATTCCGGCATCATTAATTAAACACTGCATACAGTTTATAAATAAACCATTAACTTTCATATTTAATCTCTCATTAAACACAGGTACCTTTCCATATTTGATGAAGATTGCCAAAGTACGGCCTATTCTAAAGAAGGGCCGAATTCAAGATATTACTAATTACAGACCAATTTCAATTCTTCCTGCATTCTCCAAAATCTTTGAAACTTTAATACACAATAGAGTTATGAGTTTTTTAAATAAATATAATTTGATTTCTAGTTCCCAAAATGGTTTCCGAGCTAATAAATCTACCTATACTGCTATCCAGTCTTTTCTTGAGGACATATCGATAACATTAGATTCAAAACGATTTGCCATGGGCGTATTTTTAGATCTTACAAAGCCTTTGATGTAATAAACCATGACCAGTTACTTATTGAATTGGACTTGTATGGACTTAGAGGAAAAATCCGTGAGTGAATGACCTCGTATCTAACAAATAGATTCAAATATGTAGAAATTTATCACCAGGACCATGTATCCTGTTATTCTAAGTCCTTTACCTCGTCACTTAAGGAAATTAAACATGGTGTTCCGCAGGGATCTGTTTTGGGTCCTCTGTTGTTTTTATTATTCATTAATGATTTGCCATATGCTATACCTCAGGCTAAGGTTGTACTATTTGCAGATGACACTAATATATTGTTCACTGATAACTCTCTTAGATCTTTAAATATAAAAATCAAAAAGGTTATTGATCAACTAGAAAGTTGGTTTAATGTGAATCAACTTTTTGTTAACACTGACAAGACCAAAGTATTATTTTTCCATGGAAAAGGATCTACTTCTAGGAACAGACCGGTCATACGTTTATTCAATAGGGAATTAGTATATTCATCTTCGGTGAAATTCTTGGGTATTGATATCTCTGAAAATTTGAGCTGGTTGAATCACACTCAATATATCTGCCTTAAGCTGAGCAAGGCTCTATATCTGATCAAATCCTTACATAATTCTGTTAGTTTACAGGTATTAAGAAATGTATATTTTACTAAATTTGAATCCATATTTAAGTATGGTATTATGTTTTGGGGTGGTGGAGGTAAAGAGATTGATACAGTTTTTAAAGTACAAAAAAAATGCATAAGAGCCATTATGGGCGTTGATAATCGGGCATCCTGCAGAAGGCTGTTTGGTGAGTTAGAAATTTTAACTGTTACTTCTTTGTATATACTGGAGATTTTATGTTTTATCATAAAAAATAGAATCTATACAACTCTGAACTCTGATGTGCATAATTACAATACAAAGCATAAACATAATCTGTATGCCCAACATTGTAATACAAATCGTTGTAAGAGAAGTGTGATAAACATGGGCATAAAACTATACAATAATCTTCCTATGGAGTTAAAGAATGTATCTGATTTTAAAGTGTTTAGGAGGAAATTGAAGTGTTATTTGTTGCATAGTGCCTTCTACTCTCTTCAGGAGTTTTTTTATATGTAAGATGTTGAATTAAATGACTGTAATTGTCTGTTAATGCATGTGCTGGTGGTTTTTTTATATAATTTATTTAAGTATTTATGTATTCTTTGATTATGTTAGGTGTGATTGTTATTAAATCTATATATTCACTTTGACACTATCTGATTGTATATTTTACAGTTATGGATGTAAATAAAAGAATTAAGAATTGCAGCTCAGCTCTAGATGAAGCACAGCATAATTATTAGTTTACAGTCAGTTACAATCAGTTTATAGAATTTGTCATTGGCAAATCTATCTGAAAAATCTTTGTCCCTTACCACCAACATTTCCAGCCTTTAGTCCATGTACACCAGGAAATTCATCCATCTGACCAAATGTGCTTCGAGTTAGAGACTTTTTCAAATGTGAGGGGAAGAAATAATCGTGCTTGCTATAGATGAGCAACTTTTACTTTCACTGGCATTTGAAGTGCTGAATTCAGTGTCAGAATTGTCTGAAATTGTTTATGATAGGTTTAAAATTGCATTGTTCTTCAGACTTTTTCCTGCAGCACATTATGATAGTTTTCGTTTTGTAAGACATCCAGGTGGATTACAAGAATCATCAGTTTTATCTTCCATGATGTCTAGGCTTAGAGAACCACAGGTTTAAGAGACAAAATCATGCACAGATGTCTTGAACCTCAGTTAGGATGCTACTGTAATGAGAGCAATTGTAGTCGCAGTGTCAACCAGTTCAGGCAGGTGAAACCACTGAGACTTCAGTGACACACTTGTGAGTTACTGATACCCAGATAAAGAGCTGCGTGCACATCGAGTGGCAACAATAATTTTAAGTGGATAGTAGGCTGTTCCTGAATCAGTTTGGCCCAGTGATTAATGTTAATAAATATGAGTGCATCAGTTAAGGTGAAATGAAAAATAATTAACTTTTCTGTGGCCTGAGTGGAACATAGTTTCATAACAAACAAGCAGTTACAGTGAGAATAGCAAATAATTAAAAACTATGGTAAGCTAGGAAGCAGCAGCCATTCAAATTGGGAAACCTTTAGAACACAGGTTCTCAACCAGTAGCATGTTCCATCCACCGGGGGGGGGGTAGTAAGGATCCAAAGTGAGTTGTAAGAGAACTGTTGTCACCTTAAATGTGCACAAAATTGCGATTTTACCATAAAATTATGGAAATCACCCAGTTTTACAACACAATTGCATGCAATGTAAGGATGTGCATTGTATCAGTGCTCACATTGATAATGTTTGGGGCAAACTCAAGTATGAATTTGGATCATATATCCTTCAGTCTCTTTCATATTTTTTAAAGTAAAAATTATTATCTATTTATGTAAGATTTTTTAAAATAAAAATATTCTGCAGTGATATAAGATTAAGAAGAGTTTTGTCTTCTGGGATATAATGCCATGTAGTCCAATGAAGGTGAACCAGTGTTTTGGATGAACATGTTACTCAGAGTCAAAGAATAAGCCAGGCAAGTGGCATGAAACGTGGCAAGCAGAGGGTTGACTTCGAATAAACTAAACTGAATTATGTCCCAGAAGAAAGAACTCTTCATAACCATCTCTATGAGATCCCCAAATCCTGCATGTAAGATTAAGTTCACAAATAGAGATTGAAATTGGATTACATGCCTCCCCC